GAGAAAGGAGAGAGTAATGCCCGTGAGCACTTCCTGCACCTGCCGCGCAGAGACAAAGCAGACCGCGTTAATCTCACCCCTGCCTTCTTTCACCCGTGCCCTCGAGAATCACTTATTAAATGCCTACTGTGAGCCAGGCACCGGACCAGGAGCTGGGGATACACTGTTGCGCACGGTCAAGCAGGGGAGACTCATAAGCAACTCGGTTCACTCGGACCAGGTTCTGGGCGAGAACAGGGTCACCTGCAAAGCTGACCTTGTAGAGGACACTTCTGGTGTGACCCTTGGCCACCCACAGAGATCAAGTGCAGGCCTGGGCAGGCCAGCCCCAGGCCAAAAGCCCACACGACACACATGTACACACAACACATACATCACACATATTTCACGCATGGCACAGCTGCACGGGGCACTCTCTACCTGTACAGGTGTCAAATCCACCAGGTCCCCAGGGACCAGGCCCTGTAGGCATCTAGAAAGAAAAGCAGTGAATAAACACGTTTTCCTGTGTATATTCAAGGAGGAGCCCTCTCTGCCACAGACACTGGCTTGCCCACAGACGCTGCACCAGGCCCGCACCAAACGCAGCCTGCTAAGCTCATGCTCACCCGATTCAGCTGGGGATCCCTCAGCTTCAGGAGCAGCTGGAATATGGCTTTAAAAGTGTTTCGCCACCACCCCAGTAACAAGGAGCACACCCAGCACCCAGACCTTGGTCTCTAAGAATATCCTTCAATAGAAGAAACCAGGGCTCCTTGAGAAAGCTGGACTCAAGGACAGAGGCAGGAAATACACAGATAAGCCCAGAGAATCTTATAATGCCAGGAAGCAAGGAAGTGCTCACACATACACCACACACACACTCACCACACAAACACACCACACAGGCAAACACGCCACACACACAAACCACACACATACATGCAAACACACACATAAACACATCACATGCACAAACACACCACACACACAAACCATACACATATATGTGTCACACATAAATACACCACACACATCACACACAAACATTACATACACAGCACACATGCATACACACACACCACACACAACACATCACACATACCCACCATACGCACACATAAACACACCACACACATACTCATGCGTAACACACACGTGCACCCATCACACACAATGAGAGTCTGTGAAATGGACCAGGAACCAACTGAAAGAGCTCCCAATAGCCAGAGCTGGAACAATTTGAGCAGCAAAGTAAAGTAGTACTGGATTATAACATAAAGTGTAAAATAAATATCCACAAGTCCAAACTGATACAAACGATTGAATAGATAAATAAATGGAAGGGATAAATTTCCCCCGTAAAATTCCAGATAAATGACGTAGATGCTCTGTCTTCAAGGAGGTGGAATATCACTCCCCCCTGCTTAGTGGGGGTGGCCCCTTGTGACCTTTCTTCAAAAGTGCAGAGTGTGAGTAGGGCTTGGAGAGGAGGAAGGAGCTACCTCACAGTGGAGACCATACGGTCACGGTCAGCACCTACGGTGACGCGTCATGCTGATGGTGTGTGCCCTTGATGCGACGTGACCAGAAGGGCTCTTTATCTCTGTGAGCTGCCTCCCAAAACCCAAAACCTCAGTCTAATCACAAGAAAAACATGAGATAAATCCCAGCTGAGAGACAGTCTGCAAAACACCTGACTGGTGCTCCTCAAAACTATCAAAAACAAGGAAAGCCTGAGAAACTGTCACAGCCAAGAGGAGCCTAAAGAGACGTGACGACTAAATGTCACATGTTGTCCTGGATCAGATCCTGGAACAGAAAAAGGCCATTAGGTGAAAACTAAAGAAACCTGAATAAAATGTGGACTTGGTTAATAACAACTCATCAACACTGGCTCCTTAACTGTGCAAAGTACCACACTAACATAAGATATAACATAACATATATATAATTATATATGTACTAATATACTAATATAAGATACATATAACATAACGGAATATTGGGTGCAGGGTAAGTTTATTTTTTAAAAAAAGTTTTGCCTAACCAGAAAGTATGATAGATGTCTGCATAAATATTCCCTCTAAATTTATTTTTCAACAAAAGTGCACTGAGCACCTACTCTGTGCTGGACGTTGTACCAGGCTCAGGGATACAACAAGGAACAAAATGCAAGCCCCTGCCCTCAGGGAGCTTAGGCTCTACCGTCTACAAAAGGACACTCAGCATCCAAGAGAATGGAGAAAATTACAAGGGCAAATATAAATGACAAAAGTTTATCAAAAAATACATTGAGGGCTAGACGATTAGCTCAGGTGATTAGAGAGGTGTTGATAACACCAAGTTCAAGGGTTCAGATTCCCTTACCACTGAGCCACAAAAAAATAAAAAATAATAATACATATATATCAAAAAGTATGTATATTCCAGGACTTGGGATTCTTGCTGAGGGTGACAAGATATTGAGAGTGGGAAAATGAGGAATTTGACCAAATATCGTAGGTTATCAGATAGTATTTTCACTAAACTGACCCAGCAGGATTCTTGCTAAAACTGGACTAAATGGGACAAGGATTGAGCCCAAGGTCAGAGCCCTGAGGGCTTAGAGGATCCTGACTAGAGTTAGGTCAATGTGAGAGTCCCTGTCACCTGACAGCAATCTGATTGTAGGAACCAAGTCCTCTTTGTCCAATAACCCCTCTCTGGGTATTGTACTCCAAGGAAATAAGAAAAGGAAAAAGTCGGTGATGCCAAGATACTCACAGCTGCACTATATTTTAAAGAAAAAGTTATCAGTAGCCCCAAAGCCTGACAATAGGATCCTAAATGAACAAAGGCTGATAAACTGACAGCATCTAGAAGTGGTTAAAATCTGGGTTGAACATTTGAGTTCAAGCTCGGCTCCTCCACTCCCTGAGTGACCTTAACCTCTGTCTGCCTCAGTTTCCCACCCGTAAAGGGAGGATGTTACTAACGCCTATCTTCCAGAACGACCTAGAAGCTTCAAGATCACGCACATAGCCCAGGAAATGCCCTGTAATTGTTAGCTACCATCACATCACAAACCCTTTTTGTTGAAGTGCCCTATGAGACCAGGGAAGGAAACGGAGACCGACGGGGGGCGGTGGGGGGGAGACAGGAGCTCCCCACGACAAAACGCAAATGAGGTGCAGAGCCAGACACAGGAGGATCGTCCCAGGCCGGCTGAGGTGTCCTGAGAACGGCGGGAAGCAGACCCCTGCAGGCCAGACCCAGGCAGGCGGGAGAGGATGCGCAGGACGCCGAATTTCCACAGCCCGGGTGGAGGCCGCCGGAGAGGCGCGGAGCGCGGGGTGTGGGTGATGGAGCCGAGGATTCCCTTCTGGCCCAAGCACGCCCCACCCCTGCGCACCCGGCCAGACCTCGGCCTCCCCCTGGGCCGCGCCTCAGCCCCAGCTTGAACCTGGCAACGCCTCGCAGACCTACATTCCATTCCCAGCCCGGACTGGGCCCCGCCGAGAGTGACACGAAAACCAAATAAAGGAAACTGAGACACGACGAGGTGTGTTGGATTCTCCCCGGGAAGTTGCAGCCCCCAGGGCTTGCCGGGCCCCGCCGCCCAGGACACCCTCGGAAACCGGGCTCCTTCCGCTCACTCTCGCCATTCCCGGGGAGCCCGAGCTCGTCTCGGCTCAGGGAAGCCCCGAGCTGGAGGGGTCGTTGGGGGAACGGATCAGAAAAGCAGAGAGGCAGAGCCAGGCTTCCGGAAGAGGCCGGGAGCTGTCACGTGACGCCTTGCTTTCCTCTCATTGGCCAATGCTTGGCGGCGTGGCCACGCCCCGCCTCAGGGAGTGCTGGGAAGTGTAGTTGTTCCTCTCGGCGGCCATCTTACCATGGAGGAAGGCGGGAACAGATGCTGGGGGACGAGCGGCAGTCTCCGCGTCAGCGTAAAACCCAGACCTCCACGGCCCGCGGAGCCGACCGCGCCCGCCCCCGCCCTGGGCCTGCCGGAAGGGCCCGTCAGACCTCGGAGGAGCCCCGCGTGCTCTGCTTTCTTCACTCCACTCAGGCTCCACCTGCAATGGAGCGATTTTTCTGAAACGTTCTATCAGTTTATACTTAAAACCCTCCCCCGGCTTCCGCCAGCCTAAGGATGCAGACCCCTCATCCCCGCCCACCTGCCCTGCACCTGCCCCCCACCCGCCGGGTGCGGCCCCCACCGACTCTGCAGCGCCTCCCCCTGCTGCATCTTGTTTTGCAGAATTCTATCTTTATTTATTTTTTATTTTTTTTACTTATTTATTCATTTTATTTTGTGTGTCCACAGCCAGAATGTAGAAAGTCAGCAACACTGTCTCCTTCGTCTCTGTGTCCCCAAAATCTAGAATCCTGCCTGGTACACAGAATGTACCTAACAGGTACTGAGTGAGCAAGAGAGAGGAGGAGAGACAGAGACAGAGAAAGAAAGAAAGGGAGAGAAGGAGGAAGCGAGAGAGAACTGTACACTGAATTCAGGGCTCCTGTCCCACCCTGAGTGTGCAGTGTGGGGAGGGGGGACAAAGGAGTGTCCCTCCTCCAACCCCCTTGTTGACAGAAAGTCCACCAGGCAAGAATGCAGGACACCCTGCCCGCCTGTGGCTCCCTCACTGAGGTTCCACGCCCAGCCCGAGAAGGGAGGCGCTACAGGGCGCTGCTGGGGCCATCAGGTTCCTGCTCAGCTCGCCCCATCCCAGGAGCCCTGAGCAGGGCAGGGAGGGGAAGAGGCTCCTGGGCTGGGGTCTGTCTCCCTCTGCACTCCGAGCCGCTGGTCCCCATCTCCCTGGGAGGACACACGAGGAGAAACGGAGGAGCATGCAGCCCAGAGGGCTGTGTTGGCATAAAGGCGGGCACTAGTTTACAGCAGACCACAGGGTGGCCCCGATGCCACAGCTGGGAGCCTCCTCCTGAAGACTCGTTCTGTTTCCAAAGATGCACGGGATAAGAGCAGCCAGGTGACTCTGGGACTTTGCTCTCCTGGGCACGAACCAGCCCGGTGGCCCTGCTCGCTGGACAGCCTGTCATGAAACACTGGGCCATCCTCCTCTCCGTGGCTCTGGCCACCCTCCTGGCCCTGGGGACTGGGGCGCCGATCCTCGGTCAGGGCTCCCGGAACAAGCTGCTGCTAGTGTCCTTCGACGGCTTCCGCTGGAACTATGACCAGGACGTGGACACCCCAAACCTGGACGCCATGGCTCGAGACGGGGTGAAGGCTCGCTACATGACCCCCGCCTTCATCACCTTGACCAGCCCCTGTCACTTCACCCTGGTCACTGGTGAGTGTCGGCCTCAGGTCGGGGTCTGGGGGGAAGGGGCCTGAGAACCCTGCTGAGGGCGCACAGCCTGCACCAGGTGCCCAGCGGGCAAAGGAGTGAGGTCCTTGCTCCAGGCAGGGGGCACCCACTGGGGACTGTTAGGAATCCTACTATTGATGACAACTGGTCGGGGGAGAATAAAATGCCCCTGGGGCTGGTTAAACAGTGGTCACAGCCAGAGCAGCAACCCTGCGGGGGAGGAGACTGGGGGGCGCCTGGCGCCTGCTCTTTGCTCTCCCCGCGCCCACCTCCCCGGCCTCCCCTCCTCTCCTCTCTGTTCTCTCCGACCCCTCCCCGCCACATCTGCTGGCCGAAGACGACACAGACACAAGGTTTTAAAAACAGAAAGTGTACAAAGGGTGTTTGAGAGCGAAAAGCCAACACCCTGTGTCCCCCTCCCCCCCAGGGCACCACTGTTCCCAGTCTCTGGGTGTCCTTCAAAGACACTGGGTCAGTGTACTGGGGCTGCCGCAACAGAGAACCACAACCGGGCGGCTTGGCACCACAGACCCGACTGTCACGGTCTGGAGACCGGGTGTCTGAGGCCCATCCTCACTCTGAAGGTGCAGGGGGACACTCTTTCCTGCTTCCCCCAACTTCTGGGGGCTGCTATCAATCCTGGGTACCTCGTCTTGTGGCCACATCACTCCAGTCTCTGCCTCTGTCTTCAACAGCCTCCTCTTCTGTGTCTCTCTGTGTCCAAATTTCCTCTTCTCGCACGGACACCAGTCACGGCATTTGGGGTCCACCTTCTCCAGGATGACCTCATCCCACTTAATTCCCTCTGCACAGACCCTCTTTCCAAGCAAGGCCACATCTGAGGCTCCAGGCAGGCATGCATTTGGGGGACACCGTTTGCCCCATGTCATCCTGTCGCAGCATTCCTGCAGCCCGGCCCCTCCCAACGCAATGGGCCGCAGCCGCCTGTGCTGGCCCGTTTTACTTTGTGTGTCACGGATGGGGGGGGGGGCGGGTTCTCATTTTACTCAGTACCATGTGCACGTGTTTCCTATGCAAAAATAGATTGTAAAAACATCTCCTGGTGCTATATTTGGTCATTTAACTTCCTGCCTAGGATTCCATTAGATGGCTGGGCCATAATTCATCAACTAGTCCCTTCCCGATAGCCATTGAGGCCACCCCCAGTCTCTTGCTAAAGCGAACAGGTCTGCAACCGAGGCCCTTGCGTGTGCGTCTGTGCATCTGCTTACTGAGCTGCAGGACGAACTCCTGAAAGTGGAGGTGGAATTGCCGGGTCAAAGAACGTGTGCCTGTTTGTTGCGAACGTGACCCCTGAACCTTGGCTCCCGCTGGGCAGTGCGTGAGAAAGTCTGCCCACCCCCAGCCACTCCCCACGACCCGGAACACAATGGAATCCTGCTGGCTTCGATTTTGCCTCTTCCAATCTGTCCCCTGACTATGGCCGTGACCCCAATCTGTCCCGCCTCCCCTCTGCCACTTCTCCCTCCCCTAGGCAAGTACGTGGAGAACCACGGGGTGGTCCACAACATGTACTACAACACCACCAGCAAGTTGAAGCTGCCCTACCACACCACACTGGGCATTGAGAGGTGGTGGGACAATGGCAGTGTGCCCATCTGGATCACGGCCCAGAGGCAGGTAATGCTGCCCCCACCCCCACGGATGCCGGTGGGGGAGGGGAGCCTGGCGGCAGAGGGGGCCAGGACCTCCTGAGAGCCACAGAAGGCTCGATCCCCACCCTGGGAGTCCTGGCATAGAAGGGTCTTAAGTAGGGTCCCCAGGTGAGGACTGAGCTGTGGGCTGCAGCCTGGCTCAGCCTGTGGACAGCACCCTGCCCTCTCCTCCCTGGAGCCCTGGACCAAGAGGGACTGCTCTGTCCTCACAAGCCTGGGGGAAATTGCACCCTCGGACCCTTCACTGCCTGGGGGAAGGGTCACACGGGGAGACTCAAGAACATATTTAACAGTAAGATGGCTTTAGCCCTTACCCGTCCCACACCCTGCTCAGGGCCAGACAGCTACATTCTAAAGGGTCAAAGGTAAAATAAGAGCTGGGTTTTAGTGTTGAGCCCGGGAATCCAGCAGTACCCAATGCTCTGAGGGCTCCCTGGCCCCGAAGGTGAGACCAAGTCAGGTGGAGGTTTCCCAGGCGAGCCCCGATTACCCTTCGGAGCCCCCACCCACCTGATAGCCGCCGTAGCCCCTCTCTCCAGAAGGACCTGCCCAGACTCTCAGGGGTCCCCTCCACCAGGCCCGTGGGCAGAAAGCCAGAGCGCGGAACTCAGCTTGTCCCGGTGCTAGAGCCACATGAAAGAATGGCCGGGGGGAGTGGACGGGCAGACAGGCCTGCGTGGACAGAGTTGGAAGGACAGATGGATCTGTCCATAAAAAAGCAACCAACATATAGCAAGACAGACAGATGACCAGAAGGAAGGCTGAGAGGCAGGTGGACCGGGTGTGGGTGGACAGACAGACAGACAGACCCATGCCTGGTTGGGAGTACAGTAGGGGAGTCTGGGCTGCCGGTCGGAGGGCAGGGCTCTCGGGGCAGGAAGCGGGAGCCACCGTGATGAAGAGGACACTGCATATCTGGGGCGCTCTTACGTCTACCGTCTCATTTAGTGCTTGATCTACCGGGCACCCTTCTCTCCTCTATGACATGGGTTTTACCCCAGATCACGTGAGATGAGAGATAATTTCAGAAAATCAGCAGCCTCGCAGCCACAGTTAGAGGCAGAGAGGAGAAAGTGGGGTGCAGGGCAAGTGTGTTCTGGTCACGGGACAGGCAGGAGGTGCCAGCCCGAGGGTCCTGCGACTCTAACACTCCTCCTGCTGGCAGGGCCTAAAGACTGGCTCCTTCTTCTACCCCGGTGGGAATGTCACCTACCAAGGGGTGGCTGTGACACTGAGCCGCAAGGAAGGCGCCCTGCACAACTACAAAGACGAGGAGGAGTGGAGGGCGAACGTGGACACCGTGATGAGGTGGCTCACCGAGGAGGACCTGGACCTGGTCACGCTCTACTTCGGGGAGCCAGACTCCACGGGCCACAGGTATGGCCCCGAGTCCCAGGAGAGGAAGGAGATGGTGCGGCAGGTGGACCGGACCGTGGGCTACCTCCGGGAGCGCATCGAGTGCCACCACCTCTCGAGCAGCCTCAACCTCATCATCACGTCCGACCACGGCATGAGAACCGTCCAGAAGGACGCCAGCGACTTAGTTGAATTCCACAAGTTCCCCAACTTCACCTTCCAGGACATTGAGTTCGAGCTCCTAGACTACGGACCAAATGGGATGCTGCTCCCCAAAGAGGGGATGCTGGAGAAGGTGTACGACGCCCTCAAGGACGCCCACCCCAGACTCCACGTCTACAAGAAGGAGTCCTTCCCCAAGTCCTTTCACTACGCCGGACACCCCAGGATCACACCCCTGCTCATGTACAGTGACCCTGGCTATGTCATCCATGGGGTAAGTCTCCCGCTAGACACGTGGCTCTCGGGGTGGGCTCCTGCACCGGGCCGTGGGTCCCCTTTCATTTCTATCAAAAGCATCCCATGTCTAGGGCCGACCCGGTGGCGCACTGGAAAGTGCGCCACTTGGGAGTGCGGTGGCGCTCCCGCCGAGGGTTCGGATCCCATGTGGTGACCGGTTCCCGCTCACTGGCTGAGCGTGGTGCGGGCATGACACTGAGGGTTGCGATCCCGTCGCCGGTCTCCGGTACGGGCGTGACACCGAGAGTTGCAATCCCTTTACCGGCCAGTAAAAAAGATAAAAAGGAAAAAAAAAAAAAGCATCCCATGTCTAGCTAGTCCCCAACTTGCGGGGTGTCAGCCACCAAAGGGACGCACCCATCACCACGTGATAGGAACGTGTGTGTGTTTAGGGTGGTGTGGGGGGCCCAGCAGCCGCAGGGTGACGTGGGAGAGGCAGTGGGAGCCGGAGCCCGGCCACCCACCGGCGGAGAGCCGGGGCTGCTGAGGGGAGCAGGTGCGGGCTGGGGTGGCGGTCCCCGAAGGGAGCTCCCAACGGCCACACACCCAGACTGCACGTCCTTAGGGCCTCCGTTTATCTCCCCGGCTCTCCACGGAGGCTCCCTCTTTGGGGCGACTGATCTTTGCGGGCTCAGAACTCCTGCCTAGGCCACCGGCCAGCGCAGGACCCCAACCCCGCAGGGGGTGCCAGTGCAGAGGGTGGGTGGGCTGAGGGGTTGGCTGCTCCCAGCAAGGACTTGGGACTCTTGCCCCCTCCCCGGCAGAGAATTAATGTCCAGTTCAACAACGGGGAGCACGGCTTTGACAATGGCGACGTGGACATGAAGACCATCTTCCGTGCCGTGGGCCCCAGCTTCAAGGCAGGCCTGGAGGTGGGGCCCTTTGAGAGTGTCCACGTGTACGAGCTCATGTGCCAGCTGCTGGGCATCGTGCCCGAGGCCAACGACGGGCACCTGGCCACCCTGCTGCCCATCCTCCGCTCAGGTGAGGGCAGGGGCACCTCTGTCCACCCAGACCTGTCCCGGCATGTGCTCACATGTGAAAGCAGGTGCACCTGCACACTGTGACCGGGGCACCCCACAAGCCCCAAGTGGGCTGCCTTCCCTGTCCCTCTCTCTGGCTTCTGGGAACACCTGATTGCCCCATTCCCGTGACCCTTGACCACTTCCAAGCATCTGTGCACGCTGGGCGGTGCAGGAGGCAGGGCAGGCAGCCGTGAGCAGCCTGGTCCAGGATGGGCACCGACAGAAAGGAGCGGTCTGCCCAGGGCATGTCCCCGTGCAGCCCACATCCCGGCCCCCAGATTTACCCCTCCCACATGCAAGCTGACAGTCTCCTGTCTGGAGTTCGCTCTGTCAGCCTCCCCCCAATCCACACACTCTTGACCCCATCCTGACCCATCTCAGGGACAAAGGTCAGTGGTGGCGGACGCTGGTGTGGGCCTGGTTGGGGGGGGAGGGCCCTCCTGAGCAGGGCTGTGGGGGCCATGTCAGACAAGGACAGGTGTGCCCAAGGGGGTAGGGAGAGAGGAAGCCAGGAGGCTCGTGGGGACGGCCCTGGAGGGGCTGGGGTGAGATGCCGCCCCTTGCCCCCTCACTGGATCTTCTGACTTTCCTTAGGATCTGCTCTCCTGCCAAGTGGCCAGCCCCTCTTGGTGATGGGACTGCTGGGGGTCGTGATTCCTCTGGCCAAGTTCACATAATGCCCTACCACTCAAGTTCAGAGGCCCAGAAGGTGGAGGGGTGGGTGGCACTATGTTCCCTGTTTCTCCAGCCTGATGCCCCATTATAAACCTGGACAGCTAGAACAGAGCTGCAGCCCCCAACCATCCCGGCTGCCACCAAGAGAAATCAGTCCTCAAGACCCCAAGGCAGACACCACCCCCCAGACCCCCCAACTGGCCTCTCTGCGTTAGTCTTGGAGGAGGTCTTTCCAAAGCAGACAGTCCAGATGGGACTGGGCATCCGCCCTCCCCCCAGAAGCCAGCACCCTCCGTGGCCTCTTGCCAGAGCTGCCATCCTCTGTGCTGCACCAGGGACATCTCAGAAGCCACTACATGGGTTGTGTTTGGGAAGAGAGCTACAGGGGCTGGACTCCTGGAAGCCAGTCTCCAAGGACCTTCCAGCTTGCCTGGTGACAAGCACTCCCTTGTTTTCTGTCCTGTGCTATCACAGCACTCTGGCCAAAGCAGAAGATAGTCCTTCACTCCTTCTAAAAATACATGAATTAGAGCCCGCTCGGTGTCAGGCTCTGGTCTGCACTCAGGGATGCATGGTAAACCAGACAGTCCAGGCCCCGCACTGAGGAGTCTGTAATGCAGGGGCCAGAGAAAGTGATGGATCCGTGCACAAACTAGCTCAGATGGTGACAATGGTGGAGAAAAGAGGGGCCACAGACAGGCACGGGGCAGGGGCTACTCTTTAGGTCGCCTGAGCTGGAATGGCTGCCCCGAGGAGGGGGTTTAGGGTGAGGCCTGACTAATGAGAAGCAGAGAGCCAGGCCACGCTCGGGGAAGAGCTTCCAGGCAGGGGAAGAGCCCACGGAAGGCCGCACGGTGGCACTGGCTCAGCAGGCTTCCAGAAGAGAAAGGCCAGCGTGTTTGGAGGCTGGCGGGCAAGGATGGACCTAACACGAGCTGGCCGCGGTGCGGGGCAGGAGGTGGCCTACACGAGGTGGGACGCGGTGGTCTCATGCAGGCGATGAAGTGGATGTGCTGACCGCAGAGCCGGGGCACAGAGGCGGGAGCAGAGAGCGGCCAGTCAGGAGGCCGCTGCAGGGGTCCAGGTAGGACAGTCTGGTGGCAGGGGTGGGGATGGTGCAAAGTGGACAGATTTGGGACACCTTTAAGAAGCAGACATTCAGGGTTTGTGGACAGATTGTGTGTGAGGCCGACGAAAGTGGAAGTGAAGGATGGGTCTGACGTTTGGGTCTGAGCGACTTGTGAAGCACCGAGCCACTCCGCAGGTGCAGGATGCCGGGGCAGGAGGCGGGGAGGCCGGCCTCCTGTTTCAGCCGCAGTCAGGGGAGCAGCCACGTGGAGATGATGTGGGCAGCAGGTTGTGCACAAGTCTGGCATCCAGAGGGGCGGTAGGGCTGGCAGCTTAACTTTGAGACTTGTTAGCAAACATGACATTTCAAGCCACGGGACCCGATGACAGCCTGGCCAGAAGGCGTGGACTGAGAAGAGGTGGATGAGCGCCCCACTCACGGAAAAGGGTGGCCGGGGAAGGGGAGGGAAGCCAGGGGCTGGGCGCGTCTCAGAGTCGAGAGGAGGAATGCAGAGATGTGTGTGGTGGGGAGGGAGGCGCTCCTGGCCAAACATCAGAGCAGGAAGAGACCCAAAAGGTCCTTTGCCCAAGCCCCTAGTACAGATGGGGATGCTGGAACCCAGGAATGCTAGCTGACTAGTCCAAGGGCACCAAAAAGCATCAGAGCTGTGTCTAAGTGCTGGGTTTTAAATTCCTCGTCCTGAGTACTTTCGGCCCTACGCTAGCCTCTCTGTGCTTCCAGGGGTCAGGTCCTGGAAGTGAGTCTCCAGCACAAGGCAGGGATGTAGTAAGATTTTCCTAACATTAGAAGCTGCACAATATGTCCACAATCATCTCTTCTCCGCATAAACCAAGAGCTGGCTCAGCAGATGTCACAATCCAGATTTCACATGCAAGGAAAGGGAAGGTTACACTAACCTCCACACGTGTTCTCAGGGGTTTTCCCCAGAGGGACGGCTGCAGTGGTGGCCTCGCCAGCCAGCTCTCCGCGCCAAAAAAGCCCCAATGTGTAGTCTTCGCCTACTTCTGTGTTGTAAAACCTCCCACCATGGTGTACATGAGGCCCTGCACACGAGGCTGGGAAGAGACCAGCAGAGCGGCTTCCACTGGCAGGGTCTGCAGGCCTGAGCCTGTCACTGAGCTGTGATGAGCTCCACGTGCAGAGTTCTCGGTTCTGAGCTAGGGCTACCGCCTTGTGGCCGGTTTCTCCAAAGATGGTGCCAGAAGAACTCGCCAGGAGCCAAAAGGAGCATTGCTGTGACTTAACAGAGCTCTCGCTACCCAGACAGGAGAGCAGGCGGAAGGCGCGGGAGGCTCCTCTCTGTCCTGGGGTCTGCATGCCCCCCAGTCAGGCCTGGGAAAGCGCCCGGGAGAAGTGTCTGAAGCTGCACAACCATTCGCCCACCCCGCGCCCCGACCTGCACCAAGCTGTGCCTCCCGACTCCAGCTGAGAGTCAGGAATTCCCACAGGGCCCTTCTGTGCACAGCCTGACATAAGTGCCCCACCACCGCCTGCCCACCACAGCCATGCCTGTCGCCCTGCCCCATCCTCTACCCCAGCCCAGCACATGGTACTTGCTCTTCCAGAAGGTCTCCAGGAGCCGCCCACAGGCCCCCGAGCTGGCTCTCCCCTGTGCTGCGCTACTGGACACGGATGGGCCTTGCGTCCCCAGTTTATCCCAGACTATGGCCTATGCCACCTTGCCCCGCAGCGCCAGCCCACGCATGGCCATTACGGTGCCAGCAGTAGGCCCCCTCACCCCCTCCCCCCTCCCCCCGCAAGGCAAGTCGCACCCAGCGGCGCTGTGCTCTGCGGCCACGCAGGGGCGCACGGGAGCGCTGCGGGCGGGTGCGGGAGGCTGTGACCCTCGGGCTCAGGCCTCGGCCATGGTCACTGCTCGGCACTGCCCAGCACAAAGCACCCGTGAGAGTAAAGGGCAAGTCCCGTCACTGCCCAGCAGACGTCAAAGCCTGCTGGGCTCGTGCAGTCTTCCCAGCGGGCCCCGTGTGTCACGGATTCCAGTGCCTTAGGACGGCTAACATGGGAGAAGCCCCCCACTCCTGGGGGGCAGACCTGGATGGGCGCTAGCAGGTCCTGGTAAAAGGGTGGGCTTCACATTAAAAAGAAGAAAAAAAGGAATGAGGAGGCTCTTTGTGAACCAGTGTCTCTAAGACATGGGGCTTAGCAAAAAACCAACAAAAACCAAGGTGGAAACACTGTAGGTAAAGTGGTATTGGTTGACCTGGGTGGCCAGGGCTGGGAGCAGAGGGACATTTGTCCCCACCTCTTCTGGACACTCGAATACTGAACCACTTCAAGTACGGTCCCACGCTGCAGACGACCTCTGGTCAACAGCGAGGTGCACACACGACTGTGGTCCCATGGTGATGACAGCCCTGCCATGCAGGCTGGCCGTGCACGGCCGCCCCATCGGGTGTGTGTAAGCACGCCGTAGGGTGTTCACACAGCAACGAAACGGCCGGACGACGCATTTCTCAGGACGCATCCCCGTCGATAACTGACGCATGACTGTACTGTGTTCAAGCCTGTTTTTTAAGAGCATGGGCCTTGGAGACAAATTCACGTTCCAGTCCTGGTCCCCCACCCAGGAGCTGTGGCACAGAGAAAAGTAGTTAACCTCCCCGGCCTTGGTTTCCTCATCTAAAAAAATGGGATCGTAGGAGCGTGCCTGCCTCCCTGGGTCACCCAAGGGTGACGGGCTAATCCTCAGGGGGGCAGGGGTGGGGGCTGGGCACAGAGGCTGGCACCCTACACAAATGCTCCTATGATGGTGGCCTCAGAGACAGTTACAGTCCTGCTTGGGGGTGCTGACTTGTCCGGGGCAGCGCTCAAGAATCCATCCAGCTGTAACAGTGCAAGGCTCATCCTCTGAAGTGCTGGTTTGTCAGCATCTGCCTATTTCCCTGCCTATGAAGCACCCCCGCCCTGTGTCTCTTGCTTCTGTCTGCAGCTTCGGCTCCATCTCAGCCTCTGGGGTCCATCCTAACCTGCCCCCACAGCTGCCTGGAGCTGGAATCCTGCGCTGACCTAAAAGACCCGGGCTTTGGCTCGCAGGCCCCCAGGCCTCACATCCAGTAGCTTTCCTGGAAGGACAGCCCCCATCCCAACCCCACAGTCTGTGGTCATACCCCCAGGATACCCAGGACAGCCTGCCCACCTGTACCGGCTCTGACCCTGTGGCTGGGCCCTCGCCTTCCCTGGACAGGCCCAGTCTTGGCTCTCCTGAGCCTGCCCCACCTGGCTGGAGGAGACCAGGTAAAGTCCACATCCACATCCTCAAAACAGTCACAGGTGCAAACATAACTACAGTGACCCCCAGTCTCCAAGAGAAACCCAACCTTACGCCGACACCCCACAGTTACCAGGCTCCTTTCCTCATCCTCACTAGTCTACTTTCTAGGGACCGGGCCAACAGATACTTTGAGACTCACTCTTCAGTGGCCTTACCAAACAGAAAAAGAGAGAGAGAAAAGAGAGGAAAATAATCTGGTCTGTCCCCCTGTAAATATTCTGTGACTCCAGATGTCTGGTGTCAAAAGAGCGGCACCAAAAAAGTCCCAGCGGCTGACTGACAATTCAGAATGAGTTCCCTGTGTTGGAAACTCGGCCGAGACACGGCTGCACACTGGAGGGCGGGTTGTCCTATCTGTGCAGCTCTGGGTGGGAGCGTGAGGGGGGCACCACCTGAGCAGCACAGCCCAGGTTCATAGCCAGTTCCCATGCACCCACCCTCACTAGCTCTGTGGCCCCAGGCAGGTTGCTAACCTCTCTGGGCCTCAGTTTCCTCATCTGTAAAGCCAGGAACGGTAGCAGCACCTGTCTCATAGGGTGGACCCAGTGATTCAATGAGTTAATATTTGCAAACTGCTTAGAAACTTAGGGCCCAAGACCCCGTGGCGCACTCGGGAGAGT